TCATCCCAGCCCCTGGGTCTGTAAAGGCAGGATTAGGGAGGCCTCAGCCTGTGTTGCTGCCATTGTTTACCGAGGGACTAGAGGAAGGCTGAACACCCCCCCCCCCTGTCAACACGGCAGCACAATAGAAACAAGGAAGTTGCAAGATCCTAGAGTCCTGCGCGCACACACGCCGTTCCCTTGATCTTTAAGGATCGACCTTTCTCAAAGGAGGGACAGCAACGGCAAAGGAGAGACGTGGGGGGACAAGGAGGGGGCGCCGTCAACAACAGCAGCTGATTTCTGAATGGACACAATGGACGGGGAGGGGAGGGAAACAACCCAACTGGGGGAACTTTTGCATGCTGTCAAAGCGATAGTTGCCTTTGCGTGGCGCGGAAATTCTAAACTGGTTTAAGAGAAAAGCCGTGGAGGGGCATTTTCAAAACAAACTCTTCAGTGATACTTCACTTTTTCTTTCCCTAAACACTGCCTCTCAGCACTCTTCCTGTCAAATCTCGATATTTGGTCGGTGAAATGAAGTGTCAAATGAGCAGGAAATTCCCTCAAACCAGACGACACCGGCGCAGACTGAGCGGGCTCATAAATTCCACCGGTCGGCTGCGCGCCGTCAAACGGTAATTTCCTGTTATCCTGGAGAAACTGGGCGACTACAGTGTGGGTCGTTTACAGTCAGCATCCAGGTGCAGCGAGAGATAAAGCTCTCGGAGCACCGCGTTGCCTCTGGAGCCGACGTGACGCCTTCGCCTGACCACAGCTTCCACATCACAGGGAGTTTCACAGCATCTCAGACACCCAATAAAACTGAATAAACGGCCAAATATCCAATATTAGGCTCAGCGTTCAGATGGTATTGGTAAAAGAAAGTTTGAAAAAAAAAATCACACAAAGAGGCTTGTGTGACTTTTTCCATTGATAAAAACCCATTAAAGCTGTAATATCTAAAAAAAATGTGTTTTTGTCAGAAATAAACACGAGTAGCACTTCAAACCTTATCAGGAGTAAACGTTTAACACTTCAAAAGTAAAACCACAAACCACTAATCACTTTTGTTTTAGTTGTGAGTTAACCATTTGGCTTCTTTAGCAGACTTATTTTCACTATTCTGACAAAAAGAATCCAATAGTTTGCAGGTTTGACGTTTTCTCTACAAGCGTGTCAATTTTTCTGCTGCTTGGTATCAAAAATCATTCACCTTGTTCCTTTTAACGTGTGTTTACTGCGAGGTAAACTCAGCAAGTGCAGCTTCATTCATAGATTTCAACTTTCTAACTTTTTTTGCACTAAATTGACAAAAACTCCCATCAATTAAACCAAAACTTCAATAGTTTCTCCTTTATCAATGCTTCTATAGCTTCATCTAGGAGGAAAACACTCCACTTAGTCATCAGTGGAAGCAGCAAAAGCTATCGATTATGACCGACAGGGCAATTGCACTTTAAGCTGATTGTTGATCCCTGCAGAGCCGTTAGACCTTTCCATTTTTAATGAAAAACTCTCCACAGACTTCTAAAATAAACAAACAACATCTACAACAAACACATTTACACAATAGAAGATTCTGCAAATTACTAAAAAAAAAAGCAAATAAACTGATCAGATCGACCAATTAGAGGCAAGAAAATTCTCGTTCTGTCCTGTCCAAGATCAAGAATACAGGGAATGAAAGTTTAGTAAACGTGGACAGATGTTGCATTCTGGATCCGATGGAGGAGAGGGAGAAAAATTGGAGGAATAAAGAAAAATAATTCCATTTATCTTGAATAAAAGAGTTTCCTCTGCTTGGGTTTGACATACAGAGACACAGAAGAGTCAGAATAAAGAGTCTGCTTGTAATCCACTGCTGGGGAAGGTCTCACAGTACAGTCTAAAACACGCACGCACGCACACACACACACACACACACACACACACACACACACACACATCATAAACTCTGCGTAAAAACAACAAGCCTAAGGCAACAAACTTGCAGAGAAAGCATGCAGATGAAGACACACTCAAGAAACATGCCAAACCCTTTAGACACATACATAATGAACTTAAACTGAAACCATTTGCGCGCGCGCGCACACACACACACACACACACACACACACACACACACACACACACACACACACACACACACACACACACACACACACACACACACACACACACACACACACACACACACACACACACACACACAGTCTCAACACTCCAGATAAATCTTTATCCGAACACAACAAGCTCGGGGACTTTAGCTGCACCTCTAAGTCCCACAAATCTCCTTCTTCAGCCACTTCCTCTGAAAGAGCGACTGATATCTCTATTAATGTGACGAGAGCCAAATGTCCCGTGACGCAGTGTAACAGGAGTATTACGGGTGCTAAACAGAAAAAAAGAAAGGGATACACTTTAAATCAGCCTCTCTGGTGGAAGATTAAACATAAATGACACAAACAGCAGCTTTTGTTCTGCCAAATGCGACACGAGCCCTAAAAGTCAGCGGCGCGCCCTCGGGATAAGTTGTCCTGTGGCGTGTTCCGTCTTTGTGATGTTAGAACGCAGCTGAACAAAAAGGAATGAAAACGTAAAACTAAAAAACACAGGAAAGTTTTTCCTCTTGCAGTGAAATAAACCCAAATGTTTCACCAGAAAGTGGGAAACTCCAACCACTAAATTGAAAGGTTACACTTAGTTATGCAGCTCCCATGATGACTTGTTTACAGTATCACACTAAGGTCCAGATATATGAAATGAGTTCAGAACACTCCTAATCAATCTTTTAACTATTGATTTAAACTGTTTTTATTTAGATTACAAAAAAATCTTACTCTTTCCCTCAGATTCGGGCAAAAACAGTCAAGTAGCATCAGGTATCTTGTGTTTTCTTACCAACAAACGATATTAAAATGAATTATTTATTGACTTGAGCTCTTTATTTGCAGAACTTGAATTGTTGCAGATTTAAGGAGATTAGGATTTAATCTTGCAACATTAAGTCCATTAGTCACAGCTTTTTTTTGTTGTTTTTTTAATCAAATAAAAGTATTTTGAAGGTGTAAGCACCTTTCCAGACAAATACATTTCTTAATTAACATTCATGAATTAAAACATAAAATAAAACAACTTTCTCGCATCTTTTTGTAAACGAGGATATATAGAGAAGTCCTGGAGTCAGCTGAGGACACACACACACACACACGCACACGGACATGTAACGTGTCCCACGTTTAATGCCACCACACAAGAGAGGCCGGTCATTTTCCCGTCCGTCTCCAAGGCCTGTAGTTTCTGATCCATCTCCACATCCCTAATCATCGCAGACCCCCCACCACACCACCCGCTACACCACTATTCTCACCCCTTTCAAGTGCCAGGTAGATGGGGGCCGAAACACCGCTTCTGCCTCACAACTAGCGGGACTAATTACAAGGGAAGCAGCAACAAGTGAGCATTGTGTGGAGTCTCGAAGACACACACGGAGAAAGAAAGTGCTCTTTATCTTGGCAGCAGCAACAACAACCCCCGTCTCACCCTCCAAACATCTCTGAGAGGCTGCTGCGGTCCCAACTCCAGGACTGAAGAGCAAATACTCGTAGAGTCTACAAACACCATTGGCCCTTGGTCGCCGCGGTTGCTAAACACAGATGTGCAGCTTCATGCATGAGCGAAGATGAAGTTCAGTTGGTTTCATCCTCACAGCGTCGGAATAACTTGAATAAAATGTTTGATTGTGGTGCGCAACCTTGCTTTTGTCTCATGAGCTCCAGTTATGAAGCTTGTAAACAGGAATTATAATAATTATCTAGGATTTTCTCTCCAAGAAAAATAAAAACCAGAGGCAAACCGAACATGCCTGCAGCAGTAGAGGTTCAACTTTTATAGCAACACGGAGAAAAAAAACAACCTTTTCTGTGAGATAAGAGCAACATATTCAAACGACTGAACCGTTAAGACTTTATGCTGCTCTAAATCTTTAAAAATAACCTTTATGACCTCGAATCACATTTTGTGAAGCGGCAGATTCACAAAAGTGTTTGTTTGATCAGAAACTGTTGGTTTCAGGTAAGGTTCAACTTCATTCTGGGTTTTATCGGCAACTAGAGGAGATGTCAGCTTTAAATAAAGCGAGTCTTCTCATGTTTGTTTGTTGCAGCGGTTTTACTGTGAACTGATTTAAAGGTTGCAGCAAACCTCTTGGATGGAAAACATCAAGTGAAAGAAATAATAATCTCATTTTAACATCACCGGTTCACAAACTAAAACTAAAAAGCTGCAGATTCGCCTCACAAGGCACAAGTCCGAACACTCGTGATGTTTTGTGATTGATTTGCAGCGAGGCGACAGTCGTCTCAGTGTGCGGGAGCTTCATCTCTTGCCTCCTCTGATCCCAGATCAGCCTTAACGTCACTAAAGCAGACAGGTTATCTACGTTCTGCTATGTGATTTACAAATCCCTTCCTAACACATGCACACAAACGTCAACTAACTGAAATTAATATTTTACACAATAAGAGACGCATTAACAATTCTGTATTATGTTAAAAAAATGTTTCAGACACCACATGCATTAAATATATGTGAGGTTTTAGTAAAAAGAAGACCAGAATGAGAAAAAACTGCTGTGCAACTTTTGAAAAGTAGCAGAAAATACTGCAGGCGCTTGAAACGATTGAATTTTTTCAGACTGGATTTTTTTTTAAACAAATCTAACCAGAGGGGACCAAAACAAAACCCCTCAAAACTTTAACATTCATTAGAGTTTGTTCCCATTTCCTCTGCTGCAGTGAACTTCAACAATGAGAGATGCCCCACAAAGTACATTTTAAAGCTCAATAAGAAAGTTGAATGTTAAAATAACAAAAAAAAATCAAAAAAATTAAAAAAAAGAGAGAAATCCACAGCAGGACAGAGAGTGGACGGAAGAAGAACCTCATGAGCGACTGAGAGAAGAAACCACAAGGAGAAAAGCAGCGAACAACGATGAAATAAACCAAATCTGGACTTACAGATGGAGACACGGAGCTGTTCGGGAGGTAAGGGTCTGGCAGCATCAGGAACGGGTACCCCGGATACGCCGGCGACTTGTACATGCCTCCATCTTGCTGCTTTGACACTGAGATCAGGCGTGGAAAAAGGAAGCATGAATCAGAAAGTCAAACTCAAAAATCTGATCAAAACAAGTGAGCAGAAATCTGCAAAACTTTGAGGATGTCAATGAAGATGATACGTACTCTTGCAACACGACTGGCAGGTTCAACAAAAAGAAAACAACCGTGCATGTGAAGCAGGCGAACTATTACCCGGTCCTTGCATCATGTTTATATCCTTGTTTGAGCAGACTTGTAATACTTTGAAAGGTGGGGGGGGGGGGAAAGTGCTGCAGTCGTCACCTACAGCCTGAGAGGCGTGAACTTCAGGAGCCTGTGATACTTTATTTCCACCGCCACCCATATTAAGCACAAGGCCTCGGATACAACTACCTGCTAAGAATGAGGCTACAAGACCAGACCGATCAGAGTAACAAACTGTGAAATAACGCAGCACCTTGGGGGAGATAAATGTTGATTTCTGCGAGTTTCAATTTGCCTTAAAGACTCGTGAATTTGAAACCACAAATCCGGATTTGATGGTGGATTTTGCTCAAAGGTTCACAATGTGACAACTTCTTTTTTCCCCCTCCCCTTTAAGTGATGACTGAAATGACTGCAAACTGTAATTAAAGCTGCCAAGTGAAGTAGACACTCTTAAAATGTGCCTACATGAAGGGAGGGAGCTTGCTCTGTTCTTTATGGGTGGTAAAAGGGGAAATTCTCTTTTTGCACTGAATTTACTGAACAAAATGTATTCAAACACATTATTTCAAACACATTACGTCACTCAATTTAATCAAAAAGTTAATATTTGTGTATTTTCTGTAGCATTATTACACCAATTATGAAGCTTTACGATTAAAACGCAGTTTTACGCTGGATGACAAAAACAGCACTTCTGTGATAGATGCAGTGACACGATGGGCATCTTTTAAAGTCTTTGAAGTTGTGGCACGTGCTCCGTTTTGTTTTTGTGTAGCGGTCACCCTGAGAGGAAGGGAGTGTTTTCCTCCTACCTCCGTCGTGATGCTCTCGGTGTTTGTCCGTGAAGACCCTCTGCTCGCCCTGCTGTCCCCGTCTGCCCGCCTGGAAGGGACAAAAACACCAAATGAGGTGAAAACTCTCCTCCCCCCTCAAAAAAAGTTCAAAGGGACCGATGGTACGCGCACGTGAGGGTGAGTTTTTGAACTTCTTCACCTCGGACAGCCTGGGAATTTCACTTCAACGCAGCCAGTTTGGCTCGTTTTTATTTACTTTTAAAACAAAACAAACCAAGTAAAGTCAAACACGGTCAGTGCCACCTACCGCCGAAGGACTCTGATTTATTTCCGACTCGTTCACCAGAGAGGACTTCAGGTCGGCCAGGTCTCTCTCTGTAAACGCGTTTTCTTGGATTTTCTCCTCTTGTTCTCCTTCGTCTTTGAAGGATATCATCTCATCATTCGCTCCCAGGTCGTCTCCTCCGCCGCTGCTGAGCTGAGGCATGTCTACGTCCCTCCTAACACTTTTCTTTAAAAAGGAAATAAAAGTTTTTTTTTTAAATAAAACAAAAAAAAGTTGAAATAAAAAGTGACTTCTCAGCTAAATATCCTCAGTTTGGGGCAGCTCCAAAGTAGAGAACCCCCCACCACACAGAAAAGTTGCGATGTGGCGCTCCCCGGCCAGAACTGTAATGTTTCACTACAACAGCAAACAGCTCATTTGAGCCCAAGACAAGCGGTGGAGTCCCGACATCAAAGGGCGCCGAACGGCTGATTGACAGGTCCGATGACTTGTTGGGGGGTTGTACGATTGTTTCTGTAGAGGGCTGAGCCTCTTAAAGAGACACCGCCTCCTTCTGCTCAACTCAACAGACATTATTCATGACTTCCAGGGCCGTGTTCACGGTATCTACGGCCCGCGGGCTGCCACCATTTTCACGTTTTTTTGTTTACTTTTGAATAATAATAATAAAAAAAAGTTTTCCATCGTGTGCAGATTAAAATTAAAGAGCAAGTCACTCACTACCAGAATCTTACTCAACTCGCACTTCCTGTTTGAAAAATGCAACAAATGCTGTTGCCAAGCAGACTGAGAGGACAGAGCTGCTAACAAATACACACAAATACAGGTTCACAATGACATTGTGACATCATATGGTACCAGCTGATGTCATTTGATACTTCTTAGCCAAAAGCAATGGCAGATTTAGATTAAAATGCAGTGCAGAGTTTTTACCTGAAGGGGGTGCATCACTGACAGTTTAAGGCAGAATATTTATATTTAAAAAAAGATGCACCACAGCGCCAAATTATTGATGGCATCTGTCTATAGTACAATCAGACACTCATTTATATAGTTTATCAGCAAAAAAAGTAGATTTGGGGGTGACTTGCTCTTTAAATTGAATGAAAATGTCTCTCTAAAAACCCACAAGTGAAAAAAATAAAACAATTGTACAAAATAAAACGTAACATCCAAAGAAAGAAAGAAAACAATTTTTTATAGAGCACCTCTTAAGATAAAAATCCAGAGGCGCTACTTCACCTTACAAAATTAAGCAAAAGATGAGTTAAATAATGAATTAATCATTTATCATGGCCTTTTTATTAGGTACACATTGCTGGTATCAGGTTGCTGAAGTTTCCATCCTTTCTGTATAATTTTGGACTCCCTTATTTAGTTTTAATCACAATTTAATTACATATTTTAGTTTTTTCCCTAACAGATTTTAATACTATCTTTATAAATAATTTAAAAATCTTTTTTTGTTTTTATTGTGCTTGTGATTTTTTTCTTGAATGGTGCTATTTAGAAAAATATGGAAATGTAGAGTTGCCACTCACACAAAATTAGAGCAATATCACATTATGAGTTGGCCATGTTGTTTTCCTTACAATATAACATCATGTTCTTACAATATAATTATAAGTTTGAACAATATAGTGTCACAAACACGTTAAATGTATCACATTTGTACAAAGTAAATGTATTGTTTGTACAATACAATGCACTGTGCAAATATGTAGGTTGTAAGAATGTGAAAACTATATTGTTAGAACAATAAAGATATCACGTTATAACGTGATTTTGCTCTAATTTCATTTTGTGCGAGTTCTTCACCTTCTTCTTTTGGTCCACATTTCCATGACAGCATCACACAGTTACATCAGTTAAGGGATGGACATCAAGAATCCAGAATATTCAGGTTGGCTGTGGTGTTTGAACCATGCTCAGTTTGTACAAAGGTGTTCAAAGTGGGCCATGAAAATGCTGACACAACCATCTGAATGTTGCAGCTGCAACTGAGACTCACCGGACCAAGGTAGGTTTTTCCAGCCTCTATGGTCCAGGGGTCTCATTTATAAAGCTTACTTACGCACAAAAAAGGGTCGGAAAACTGCGTAAGCAAGTTTCCACGTAAACTTTGGGATTTATAAAAGAAAATGTAGAGGAAAAATGTGTGCAACTTTGAGTTGACTAAGAACCTGACTTATGCATATTTTGGACATGGAGCACATGCACTGGTGCTGCTGAGAAGGAGAAAATTATGAATTCCAGCAGCATTATCACTTGTACCACTTCGTACACACACAGAGCAAGCCCTGGTGGGACAGGCGGACCCTGCAGCCGCATCTTTGGTCGCCGCCCGGGATGCCTTGTTGGACGCTTTGTCCAGAGTCACTGGGGAAACAAAATTTGTTTTTGTTTTATATTTTAATAACGACACATTTGGTCTGTAGTAATAAAAGGCTTAAACTTTACCAGTCTCCTCTGCATGGTCAGTGTTTCCGGCACGATGCCACGCACACTTGCCGGTCCGAGTACTGCTGAGATCCTAACGGCAAGCCGTGGGGGATCAGAGGTGTCACACACTCAGGTGGTGGCAAAACATCTTTTTATTTGCCCCCACCTTCAGATCGGACTATTTTTAAAAAAATATCCGACACAGATCTCTCTGAAGAACTCACAGCATTGATGGCTTCAGCAACGCTGTGCCACTCTGTGGATTTTCTCTTATTTGTTTTGCAAAAGCACTTCCTTTCATTTTTCCACCCCACCTACAAGTACTTCACTTTCTGCTTCGGTGAAATTGCGCTTCCTTGATCTGCGGTCGCCATCGTTAATGGTGAAATGCTGCAACAAGTCGGCTTATGTATATGCCACAAGGCACTTTGCATTCACCATTTATGGCAGAAAGTGGGCGTGTTGAGGGCGGGATGTGATCCAGAAAATGCATTTTTTTTGTCACTCACCGCTTTTCACTACGCACACTTACACCACAACTAGGGATGCACCGATATAAAAAAAATTTGCGCCGATACCGATATTAATATAACCGATATTTGCCGATACTGATTTATGCTTCTGAAATAAGCACATTTTGTATAGACTGAAATTATGCAAGCTGACTTTTTGAATGTTTTGCTTTACACACACCACACACACATTTTATGCTTCTGAGATGATTATCATCACTGTCACAGCACTAAACACTTACACATCCTCGCCCCCCTCACCCTCTGAAACAGATACCCAAATGGAGACAAGATGGAAAAATGCAGGTACCGATATGTTCAAAAACGACAAACATCGGCTGATACAGATATTGATGCCGATATATCGTGCATCCCTAACTACAACGCCACTTACACGACGGGTTGACAGGCCAGGTTAACAGGCAGGAGTGTGGTCTTTAGATGCTGTAGGCCATCTGCTTCAAACTTGTTGTTGTTGTGGTCCTGAGATGTTGTTCTGGACATTTTGCTTGTAAAAAGTTATTTGAACTACTTTTTCTTTTCATTGGAAACAAGCCTGCCTTTTTGTTCTCTGTCCTTTGACATCAACATGATGTTTTCATTCACACAGTTGCCTCTTACTGGTTGGTACCTCTTTTTCATACAAGTCTCTTTGAATTCTAGAAATGTTTGTGGATGAAAATCCCAGTAGATCATCAGGTTCTGACATTTCTAACAGCCACATTCAAAGTCACTTAAATCTGATTTCTTCATATCGTCATCACATCTAGATGTCCAAATGGTCCTAAAGCTTATGTAATTTTAATAAGAGTATGTTTCAATAATGTTGCAGTAATAAAAAAGCAGTTTTATTTGAATTTATTTTTGTTTTATTTTATTTGTCCACGCGGGGTCGCGGGGGGTGGGGGGCTGGTGGCTGGTGCCTATCTCCAGCGGTCATCGGGCAATCAGGACACACAGGGAGAACATGCAAACTCCATGCAGAAGGATCCCAGGCCGGGAAGCGAACCCAGGACCTTCTTGCTACAAGGCAACAGCTCTAACCACTGTGCCACTGCTCAGCCCTCATTAATTTCAAAAACTTTCAATTTTATTCAAACTCAGTATAGATTTTTTATGCAAAAAAAAAAAAATAATAATAAAAAAATAAAAAGCAGCATTTAAAAGTAAAAACAAGTAGCACTTCACTCAAAACTTGACTTAACATTAACATTTCATTCCAAGTTCTGACATATCTCTATCTGGAGAAGTTAAATCACATATTTATGATTGAAAACTAAAGATAACTAGTGGTTTAAACAAGCCCCCACAATGCGGCTCTAAAATTGGTCTCAACCCAGAAGTACCAAAAATTGCAGTTCCACCCTCATCCGCTGGGGGCTGGTGTCAGAAGCGAGCAAATCCTCATTGACTCCCATGTTAAAAATACCAATTTCACAGCAGAAATAAACATGTTTACAGCCTGGTACCAAAACATGTTTTTGGTTTAAATGATCTAGTTTACACTCATGACAACTCTGAGGGGGGTGAATTTTTTTCTGACTCTTCTGTTTAAGTGTATTAAAAGCCTAAAATTCTGTATAATTAATGAGCATCAGACCCACGTGACCTCAGAGCTAGCTCCGTGGAAAGGCCTCAGTAGAGCCTCAGTCTGGCTTGGAAACTGTTCCGGGATTTTGAGTCTCTGTGTTTGTGTATTCTTTTGGGCAAATTTTTTGTGCAATTGTTGGACAAAATGACTTGCTGTGGCATTAATTGCACTAATAGAGCGTCCAAGGAGTCTCCACTTCATTTTTTTCGGTAAGTAAAATTATATTTATGTATTTTAGGTCACTGCTGAGCTTAGATTGTAACACGAACTGTTTAATCATGAAATTTAAATTGAATAGGGTAAACCCAGTGCATTTAACGTAATGCTGCACTTTAGAAAATGGGTTGAAATATAACATGTTGGTGGAGCTGGGTTCCGACTATCGGCTTGTGGAGCTCTCGGGAGACCGATGTTTTCCACCTGTTTTTCCACTCCCCGCAGCTCGGTGCATCTCTGTCTGATCGCGGCTTCTGTTTGATGCGCGGGCTGCCGGCTTGTGGAGCTCTGGGACGGAAACCTTTCCACCCGGTTCTCCCCAGCGGCAGCTCTGCGCATCTCAGATCGCAGCGGCACTTGTCTGCTGTGCGGCTGCTAGCTTGTGGAGGTCTCAGAGACCTCTGTGTTCCACCCGGTTTTACCCAGCGGTCAGCCCGGCGTATCTCTGACTCAGAAGCTCTGGTGTTGTACACAGTTAAATCCGGTTGTAGCTAGGTTGCTACATCCGTTAGCTTAGCTCCCACCTCCGCATTAGCTTTGGGTTATCTTCAGGTTAGCTTGTAGCTAGTTGACCGGGTGTCGTCAGTTGACCCCAGCCTTACAGCCCCACCCTCAGCTCCTCCTCTCTTTCCTTTTATGGAAGTGTCTGGGCTTGACGGAACCTGTGACACGGTCAAAATGGCGGTGGTGGCCACCTCCCATTTTAGCACAAAAACGTGTTATTGGAGTCTATGGAAACCCA